CGCGCACACACACATGCACGCACACGCAAACACACACAGAAACACTAATACATATATATACAAAATATGTGTGTTTGTGTGTGTGTGCGTACACACACATATATGTATGTATGGATATATGTGGGTGTGTGTGTTTGTGTGTGTATGATCATTCAAGGGTCAACAATAATACTGTGTATAAAAAAGTACTTTTAATCTATTAGCTTATTCGAGACACAGACATTTAACAAAATTATAAACGCTTCTTTAGCATTTGTAGTGTCTTTGTTGCCGGCTGGAGACTCCCGGGGTGACGACATATTTTATTCAGTGCACTGTTAGAGTGCCCCGCTTATTATTTTTTCTCAGTGTGCCTTTGATTCTCAAAATGTTATTTCCAAAATGTTACAATCAATTCCATTTTTTTCTGAAGTATAGCTTATCTTGAACACATATAGATTAATGGTTTAAATTAATCGGTATTTGTGCTTCTTTAAATTTGATTATGGTATTACAATTTATAATGAGTAATTATAACATGACTTTCCAAGTTTTAGTGGTAAATGCTTTACTTTTTTCGTTATTTATTAGTAGTGTTCACTTACGTTGCAGTGAATATCCTTGTATATATTTATTGTTAATTTTCCAACCACCGATGTACCAAAAGTTCCTTTCTCTTGGATATGTATTTTTTCTTCTTTCTTTCTTTTCACGTACTTCGGAGTCATTCCCTCTCTTACCGCTGCCATGCGTACATTACACATGTCCATCACATCTTTAGCTTCTCTGCTTTCTCCTCTCCTTCGACGCCTCTTCGCCGTTACCTTCTCCTGCCTTTCCCGTCGGATTAGGCTCGATCTCGGGCCGTGTTAGAAAGGCGGTGTATAAAAGGGATCGACGTAAAGCAAGGTGCACGTCTGCTTCAAGTATCGCATCAGGATGTACACGGTGAGAAAGAGCCTCTGTGTCTTGATTTTTACATCTGAAGTTGTGACTTACGGGTATACTACATAACATTCTCTCTGATACTGTGTTGCAGTATTTTTTTCTACTGTATTATTTATTTGATGGTGCGGATGTCCTAGGAAAGCGTATATATGAGAGGCTGAACTCATAATACAGCACAGAGCTGACACTACCTGTGTTTCAGCTTAACAAGAAAACGTTTGGAGTGTCTCTATCCTCAAAATACCTACGTTTTTCTAGCTTATGGTATTGTGCATGGCTGCAGCCGTCTCGGCTGGCCTGCAGCATAACTACCAGTCTCAAGATGGGGGTGCAGTAATTCAGCGTACAGAGGACGGCGCGCAGGCCGCTCCGGTAGAAATTCTGAAGGACGAGCGCGAGGGCCCCGATGCGTCTGGCGTCTACAGCTTCAGCTTCGAGACTGCTGATGGCATCAGTCGGCAAGAGAATGGCCAGCCCTCGGGGGATACGGGTGCGGTTGCCTCGCAGGGCGAGTGGACGTGAGTTTACGGGTCACCTGCAGGTGCAGAGAACCCATGAAGTGGCGTCTTTATTGTTGTTTATGAAGATTTGGTTTATAAAGTTTATTGAATTTAGTCTACCTATTATTTTGTAGTATCTGTGCAGGACCACGAACAAGACCGGAGTGACGGTATCCTTTGCCAGACTCACTAAACTAAACTTAGATCTCCTATATGTCATATGTAGCTGCGTCCAGGGTAATCACTTGTTTATCAGACCAGAGATTTACAAAGGGTCTAGAAAGAGGTATACCAGGTATTCATCATAGGAAGTGTGTGTGAGTGAAATAAAATGTACATGTCTATGCGCGCGCACACACATTGTATTAGTAGACACTTCATTTCGCTTACAGTTTGCTGAGATAAAGAATTATGTTCTCTCAAAAAACGACGAAATTTTCACTGAAAAAATCGCCTTCACCTACATTGTTCTAGATTCACCTTCCCCGACGGAACGCACGCCTCCTTCTCGTTCACCGCCGACGAGAGCGGTTACCATGTCGATTCCGACCTGCTGCCCACGCCCCACCCTCTCCCCGCCTTCGCTCTCGCTCAGGTAGAGAAGGCTAAGCAAGAGCAAGCTGCTGCAGCTGCTGCAGCTGCTGCGTCACATTCTGCCCTTGGAGCTGCACCAGCAGGTACCACGGGGACCCTTCACGCTGCATCAGGCCCTGCCCTGGTCCCTGCCTTTGCCCCAGCACCCGCTCCTGTCCAAACACTAGTGTCAGCCCCTGCCTCTGTCCCTGGAAATCTATATAATGTTGCTGGGAAGTAGACCAGACGTTGGGGTTTATTTCCGCTCACTTTCCCTTTTTTTTATTCAGCTGTCTTCCATCACGCCAATAACCTTTTCTGTTTAATGTCAGTTTTCCACTCTCTCACTTTCGTTGTTAGACTGATATACATACAAATATATATATTATCACATAAATTGGCATGATATGCTTTTGCTGTTTAGTTATTTTGTTATATATGTGCAGGACCACGAACAAGACCGGGGTGACGCTATGATAAAATAAAGAGTTCTAAACTGA